TGTGGGCATGTTTAAATTCAATGCAGCTGATGCAAATGGAGGTCACGTAGCATCTCGTGTCTGGAGATCATTCTGTAAGCAATGTACGAGAGGATATGTGGTCTTTTTCAACTTGTTATTATGTCACTTAATGCATGTAGAATTTTTGTTTTGTGATTGCAAAACATATCTTCTACACTCACTGAAGATTAATGCTGGAACTGATATTAAGTTAAGGGGAAGGGAACAAATTGTTCTTGATCTAAGCGACTTGGATATAGCATAAAAGTTCTTAAAGCCTTGATAGCACGCAATGAATGGCATAATCCATTCATGTTTGTGCATGGATTGGGCTTATTTATCAGCTAGAAATTGTTTTAGCGAAAGATGTATCTGAAACAGTTATTGTGTTGCAGTAACTAAGATTTTGGAAAGTTTGGATGCAGAGCCAAATTTTGCAGTTTGAATACATCAGTTTAATAAATACAAAACCAACTATATGTATAAAATTACAGAACTGCTATATCTGCTCCCATTCAACAGAGGGCAATAGGGCACAAATCCAGTAAGTTACAGCCCAACTCAACTAAGAGATTCCTAGCTCCATCAGTTCAAGGAGACCTATTTCTAAGCTTAAACAAAAAGCTTTAAGTTGTTCTGTTGATTTTTAGAGCCAGAATGCTCCATCTGTAGCATAACGCTCATCCTCAGTGTTGATCTGAGATCAACAGGTGTCCGTGCAAAAATCTCCAGTGATGTAAATGGGCTCTGGATCAGTCCCTAAACAGGATGTGCCATACTGGGGAGTATTTATTCCATTATTCATACTCTGAGAATGTTTGTGCCTGTTTATTTGACCTAAATATATTAATTATTGTGCTAGGCAGTCATAACTACAGAAAACAAAAATTTTCACGTGAATTTACCTGTCTTGTACCAAAATGCCCAAGGAAGTCAGTTGCATTGGAGTTCCTCATCTTCTGATTCCAATTAGACATCTATTTAGCTTGCTTTTGTTCAATGGCTTACATATTGGTTAGCATAAAATAAAAATCCCTTCCTATCACTTTGCCTTAAGCCGAAATGCTAATTCTTGCTGTGTTCTTAACTGATGTTTTGATAGCATATGTCACAATATAGGTGACTGCCTAAATAGGCTGCCCATGTACTTCTCCCAGCTGCAGAACTGCCTCAGGCAAGCTAACTATAGCTTTGTTTTTGTGAGTGGTATGTCAAAACCATCTATTTTAAAATCAAATTAGAAAATGCCTTAGTACCATAATTCCAGGCTTCACGTTCAGCTATCCAAAAGCTCAGTGTTTCATATTCATAGATTTGGTTATAAATTTTAACTTTTATGAAGAAAAAATACATGGAAGCCTGTTCAATTATTAAATCTTTGAAACATAGATATAAGTCATAAAGCATTTAAAAAATGTATTTATAGTTTTACCTCCAAGGTGAAACGTGAAGGATGTAGGGATGCACTAACCAGATACAGAAAACACACAATATTTGTTTTCTCCATTCTTTGAACTTTCTTTGACTTTCAATTAGTTATCCTGAAGGTATTTCTTTATGACAAGCTGGTATTATGCATGTTTTAAATGTGGAAAAAGTAAGGTAAGATGTTCAAGAGCAACATATTAAAAAATGCTCATTAATTTTGGCTGTCTTTGGTTTCAAATCAAGAGGCCCACTAACTTTTAGAGATGTGGATGGCCCAGATACCAGTTCAGGTCTTTACTGGCTATTTATAAAGATCAGGCCCTAGGTGACCTGATCTGAGCGCATAAAGTGGCATTCAAAATGAATGAAAATCCTTGGAAATTTGGGGATAAGCAACTTTCCAGAATCCACAAGAGGAACATAAACCCTCCAGTTCTTACCTAAATTCAGATCAATAGACTGGACTACAGTGGCCCAACTTTTCTACTGACTTTGGGGCCTGAGTAAAGTGAATGGAGTTTGCATCTTAATTACACGGGCCAAACCGCATTTACCCCCTGTTGATTTAATATTTTAATCTGTAAGTAGCCACCCTTTTTTCAGTGGAACCATTCTCAAAACATGAAAGCCTTCAGCATGAGGAATGAGTAGCCTATAGTTGCCCATAGGTAAGTGACTTGAGGTGTGTATGCAAATGAATTTGGAAGTATTTTCTGTATTAAATAATAGCTGTCTTTCATGGATTAATCTTCTACAACTAAGCACTTTCTTTAAATATAAATGGCTCTGTGCCACTTTTAGAACACTCAGATTACTTTGTTAAATTATTAACCAGTTTTTATCATCAGTAGGGGAGTTTTTATAGAAATGAGAACAGGATCTTACTCACTGGTTATTTTTAAAATGTGCCACCGTGAAGGCTCATACTCGTGACAAGGCTCATGAAGTGTAACAGGGCTGTTGTGGTTTGGATTTTAAAGGAATTACAGAAATTAGAGATAGGAAAAGCTCTTTTGAGGCACAAAGCTCCATCCAGGTTTGGTCCTTACAGTGTGTGTTACCTTCCGTTTCTGAAGCCAGTGGATGCTGAGACTGCTCAGCAGCTCTTACCAAGTTTTAAATCATATCACAGGATCCAGCTAGTAGACTATGAATATTGAAACAAGAGGAAAGCTGATATTTAAGAAGACTTAATTTGGCAGTAGGCATTTTCTACCTTGATTTAAGACATGACTTGGCAGTAGGCTATACCTCATTATCTCTCTCATCCCCTGCTTCTTCTATTATTTGCATTAGAGTCTGCAAATACAGAAGCATTGAGGTCCTGTTTTAATAAGGGCCTGACAGAAGGAAGGTCCAACTGCTGCGCTGTCAGGCACTAGAACTGGTGGGTTGCAGGGAGTGAAATACTTGGAAGTCCTGCTTCCTGAGTTCTCCATGATTCACCTGGAGGATATCAATATACCTGGTCCCCAGCAATTCTGAATTCTGGGCAAGTAGAGCAGGGTCGAGTGCCAAGAAGCCTCAGTTACATCTGCCAACTTTCCAGCTGCTGAGGTCTCTAAGTCTAGAGAAGAGTCAGACTGTTCCTGAGCTGGAGCTCCGTTCTGTAAGAATATGAAATATTAATGTAAGAATATGTCAAAATCTATCAGAAAATTGAATTCCCTTTCTGTAGGCTACGGTTTACCTATGTGGCTGAAAGGTTGAACAAAGAGAAAAATGAAGTGAAGGATGGTGTAGCAAATGAGAATTGAGAGAACATGAGGATGTCTCTTCCTCTTAGGCCCTAGAGAATTGCTTTCTCCAATTAAATTTCAAAGCCTCTTTTTTTTTAACCTCACAAGCCAGCTTCTTCCTATTCAACTGGTTAATCACGTAAGTATTTTTTGAGTGAACGTGGCTGTCATGAAGGTGACTTGTGAAATCTCTGAGAACTTGCATTACATTGCAATTTTTTTTCCTACTAGTCTCAGAATGCCCAAAGTTAACAATTAAGATTCAGTAACATCATTCTCTACGTCTTGCTCTGCTGTGGTATGTTTCTACTTCTCCAATTTGCACTACACAAAACTATTTTATTTTCATTGGAAAATTACTAAATTTCAAAGTTGTATGTGAATACATCCATCTAGCAGTTTACATAGCAAAATGTTCTTCTGTCATTGGAAAGGCATGTACAGTGGATGGCTGGGAAGGGGCCTAATCCTTTTCCTCCTAACACAAGGAATGCTTACCACTATGTATCTTTTGCAGAGAGCACCTTGTAGATATTCAGCCACTTTTTGTGTTGAGGCAGAAATGTCTGCAGATGAAAGTAATGGAAAGATTCTCATGTAAATTCCTTAAAGGTAACTTTACTGCAAAAGTGGAAAAAAATGTAAGAAATGTCTGCTATCTCCAAGAGTCAATTGGAAAAGTAACAGGACTTGCTATCCTAATTCAAATCCTTCCAGAAATTTGTGCTAGGCGGAGGTTGGATGTGGTAGGATAAGTGGGAATGAAAATATCTGGAGGACTGAGTAAAGAAATACGGTTGGTTTTTTTTCCCCCTTCTTTGTGGGATAGGACTGGAATAACCCAAGTCTTGCAAGTGGATTAAGACTTAGCTGAAGCAAGATGGACCCTAGACTTTGCATGTGGCTGATGTCAAGTGCTATTTTTTTTCCTGGAAAGACGGTTTGTTTTGTTCATCTCTTCAATTTTACAATAAAAATCCATCAAAAAGAATGTAATGTTTACATTGTATGTAGCGATCATAAATTCTGGGGTTTCTATATGCTTATGTAATTACCAGTATGTTAGGAGGTATTAATGGGGGCCATCATCTACAGGAAGGTATTTCCCACATAGCAGAATCTTCTATGTAAATCTAAGCTCTACATTTATTTCTGTTCTTACAAAGCTCTTAGAAAATTGTTATATAGGTCATATCCTTGTTATATATCCTTTTATAAACAAGTATCTCTATAGGTTTTTCTAAAGCTGAAGTTACTGGGTGATACAGGTGGTAGAACAAAATTGAGTATCGTTAAACTGATAGCTTTCGACATCCAGAAAGAACAGCAATCTAAAAGTCCAGTTTATTTTGCGACTGAGACTTTTCTAAAGTTGAGACAGTGAGTAAAAGGTCACTTGAAACTTGGTTATTCTTCAGGGACAGTGACAGCGAACAGATGTCTTAAAGACAGTAAAAAAAAAATATTGGAGTCTTAGAAGAGATCACAACTTATTTTGTCAAATTAGAGTTAATTTTCAAGGAAGGCAGTAAATGATCTGTGTCTCCTTCTGACACAGCTCTCTGAGACCTGGTATGAGAAAGACATGGTATGAGATTTGCTGGATGAGCATTTTGCTTTTCTTGTCTAATTATTTGCAGTTCCATTGAAAAGACAATACAACATCACAGCAGACAAGCCAGAAAGAGGCCTGGAAAAAAAGCTATTTGTCTAACACTGGAAAATCACCTGATGAAATCTGAGATGCTCCAGCATGAAAGCAACCCAGAGAACTTCCATGCTTCCAGAGCTGTTAAAAGAGGGGAGGAACTCCTGAATGCTGATCCAAAAAACCCATGGGCAGATGCCTCGATTCCAAATGTGACCTGAAGACAGGAAGTCAAGGTAAAGAAAAAAAGATACTGTACATCCCCGGACACCACAAAGACTGAAGTGGCCTTATACAATCACTATTGCCACCTAGGCCTTTCTTCCCCACTGTGATAGAGTGTGGAAGGCAGAGGGTGATCTGGCTGCAACAGAAATTCTGCAATAGGGGCCACTGGTGCCTGATCTGGCTGGCCTAAGAATTTGGAGAGGTGCTGCCCAGTGCCTTTGCCAGACAGAAAAATTTCCTCCAAAGAGGAGCTTGGAAATAGTGGTGGGGATGGAGAAGGAGCTCAGTGCTCGATGCATAGACCTACAAGTGAGTGTGCAGTGATGAGTTTTCTAGGCTCTTGGAAGGGGACTAGCCAGCTGGAGGCCTCCTTGTCATCCAGCAAAGGCCATCAGACCCAAACACTACATGTTTTAGGTGTGATGCTCAGCCCCTTTTCCCTGATGCCAGCTCTGCTTTTTTTTTTTCTCACCATGCCTCTCCCTGACGTTTAAGAATCCCCTGAGAGACGTGAATAGTGACAGGCTTTCTATGCACTTGGTTATGTCCTTCTGTGGGGAAAATGCTCAGGAAGTGTGCTTGTCCTGACACTTCCCAAAGACCTGGATGCTCTTACACAGTTGCTAGCATCTCCTAGTCCTTCTTCCTCATACCCCCTGCCAAATAGTGTGATAGTGAATATGAAAGAGCGAGGGTGAGCTTCCCCTGGACATGGCCAAACCCCATGTTCCCACCAAGCTATGCGTGCCCCTGGGGCCTTTACTGGGTCAGCTCTGGCTGAACAAGGCTCTTTGGCCATCCCAGAGCCTGTCCCTGGCAGATGAATGCCATGTGGCAACCCAGCCTCTGGAGAGGCAGCAGAGCTGTGTGGTCTTCTAAGGTTCTCTGTGGCAGTGAGCCAGCTTGGAGGATCCCCCTGCCCACAGACAATACTCACTGCTTCCAGCTGATAAGTGGTATCTCTGTCATGTAGCACATGCATTAAGCCCCATGATATTTTAAAAGGGGGCACTTGTTAGCATATAGTTTGTAACAGCATTGGTGAGAGTTTAGCTGGATAAGCGTTTGGCACCTTCTATCATAGCAGTATCTTTCTCAGTGTATGTTCTCTGGCTAGAACATATCCCAGAAAGGAAACTTCTTCCCTGATACTTGCATCTTAAATTCTAGATTTTCCTTTGGAAGTCGTCATCCTTTGTCTCCAAGAAAGTTCATATTTAAATTAACATTCAATTTCATTCATGACTACCATATTTTTTTTCATTATCTTGATTACAAGATGCGAACTGTCATTCCTGTGCCACTCCATATTGATCATCTTTTCTTTATGAAAAATAGCCAATCAGGCTGTGAAAGTAACTTGAATTTTTTTTTTTATATGTGGACTAAGACTATGCCTAAGTCTATATACCTAAGGCTATATACTTTATATATGTGCGTGTGCGTACATGTTATAATCATGTGGCTGAAAAATCTTATCCTTTTTGTTACTGGATCAATACTGATTGATTTAGCAGGTCAGACTGTATTTGTGCTATGTTTATATGTGCTTCATGTTTCATTGCTGTGTGATAAATAGAACAGTGTTATCTGAAACTTTCAGGTATTATCATGTTTTGGATATCCTTAGTGGTGTTGTAGACTGAAAAGTTAGATATGATTAACAATACTTCTACATTCTAATTTTGCTTTACTACATCTTCAATTATAAAACAAACTTATTCTCATCTTTGAGTCAGAATCCAGAGGAGATGGAATGATTTATAAATGCCACTATGCATAGCAACCTCCATATCTTAAAATTGTATTGTAAACATGCAGCCTTTTCACTTCTAGGTGACTGGAAAATCAGTTAAAGATGTAAAGGTAGTCTGGCTGCTACCAAATTTGTGGAGTCTCAGTTGACTGGGCTAACAGGAAGGAGGATTGTGGCCTATAAGACTTAGCATGAACCTGTTTTTAAGTGGTATAATTGAAGTGAAAGCGTTTCCCATTCAGTATAGATTATTTAATCTCTTCACTCTGCTCTAATTAAAGATTCAGAGAACGATCAAGGAGCGAAGCCTTTGCTCATAATGACACATGCACGTTAATTTTAAGTGGATAGTTGAACCAATGGCTAACTTGAAATGTGACCATCAAACTCCCATGTTCTATCTCCAGTGAAAGAAAAATCCCAGGGGAAGGTTAGCATTTACCCAATGTCTATGCTTTTTAGTAGTTAAAGTTGTTTCCACCTGCAATTTGCCGTCTTAGTACTATAATGTACCAGCTGCTAGAGCTTACTTGCCGCCTCTCTTCCCACTCATCGCTGGAAGGTCCCACTTCTGATGCTGGCAGAGGAGCTCTAAGTGGTCTATCACTCGCAGCTAGGCACCCTGAGAGCTCTGGAGCCAGAACCACGGCTGGGGCGGCCTAAAGGCCAACAGGACAGTTCAAGCCCTTGTAGCAAGCTGGAAGATGCTGTATCTGCATGTGCAGAGGGTGTTCCCTGCCATGTGAGCATGTTATGCCCTTGGTGACCTAGTTTTAGGAAGAAAAAGCATTTCTTCCCTCTCCATAACTACAGCAATGGAGGGTTTTATTAATGTTTGTCAGTATAGAGAAAAGGTTGCAGTGTCTTCATTTTACTAGGTTACCTTAAAACCTATAAGAACTTAATGGAGATAGCTTGTGATCAGCTGTCAGTCCTATGTGCACTCTTCTGGAAATGAGTCTGTAGGGATGACTCAGGCTTGGCAGCCCACAAAAGATGTTCCCTCTGTAAAACAAATAGTTACATTTTAAAATGTAAGACAGTTTCTTCATTGTGCTCCTGAGAGGGGAAAAAAAAAAAAAAAAGACTCTGCTAGAATGATCATGAATATTTTAAATTTGAGCTCTGCAGTTCAGCTGCGTGACAGCTTGTATAAACCAAACTACATTTCATACCCTGACTGCATAGGCACATTAGTGCTTCCAGTACAGATTCTAGTTTTGGCTTGCAACACGTTGCCTTTGCAGATACGTCTGGGACCAAAAAGAGCTCCAGAAACCAGCATTTAAATGTTCTTTTAAACCTGTCCATGTGCTTATCTAAGCCTAAACTGAGGGCTGTTACCACCTGGCCATGCCTGTAAGGGCTCATCTCATGCTAGGAATTGCTACATACAAGATACTTTCCCTCCAGCCCAGCAGCAGAGAGGAAGTAACCTGTGAATGCTGCCCAGCAATTTGCCTGGCTAAAGGGAGCTCTTAAGAGGGTAGTGAAGGCAGATTTAGGGTTGCTTTTTAGCTGATGGTAGTGCCCCAGAGAATCTGAGGTCACGTGAACAAGCTTGAAAGCCTTAGTCCATACCTGGACCAGGAAACCAGGGAGAGATTTCGAGCAGGGCAGCTCCAACATGGCAACCAGTGCTGTTTTACACTGGGCTGTATAGAGTAGTGCAGTGCAGAGTGGGGAAGTCAATTTTAAGACAATTGGGGCCAGAAAATAGTGGGTTTCTTCAACTATCATAAAATAGGCTGACATTCTGTACTGTGCTGTTGAGTAGCCAATCTTTCTAAAGCAGAATGGGAATTGCATGGGTTTCTTATGGTTGTTACTTGGCAAAATAATGCAAAAGAGGTGAAATAACTTTGACCACGCTGCTTTTTTTCTAAGTATGTTTTTTTTTTTATTACAGTGATGCTTCTTGTCCATATCCATTCAGCTATTGTTATTCCTCCATAAAAATTGTAGATGGAATAATGTTGCTGAAAGACTGACGCATCATTTAAACAGCGGCCAAATCAATGGATGATTGTGGCTGTTTAGAAGCTGTTTTCTCCTCTATAAGAGAAGCCAATTTATCTATAGGCAGAGTGAGGAAAAAGGCATTTTGTGCTCAGCAGGATCTCTTAGCTAAATGGGAGTTTCATTGATTGTGCAAGCATGTGGGAGGGCAAGAAAAATTTTGAGATGGGGCCAAAATAACAAAAAATAAATAAGTGAAGGCAGGAAAACACTGTACAGCGGGAAGGGCCTTAAACTGCCTTTGGCCTGCAGAGGTCAGATTGTACTTCAGACTGTGCAACTGATCTACTTTGTTTCTTTGGGACAGTTCCCCTGTTCACCAAACATGCTTCAATTCACCAAACTCTACCAGTTAAAGTGTATTTATTTGTTTATTTTTGGAATTCTTTTGTACTCCAAGCTCCATATGCAGCATCAGTATGGAAGAACAGAAATAAAAATGAAGAATAATTCAATTTTCTGTGACAGAGTTCTCAATTTTGAAGCTATATGATGTTTTGTGCATGGATTTATTAAGGGAAGAGAGTTTGGTCTGAAACCAAATTTAATCAGATGTGAGATTCCTTTTGATTTTTGTTCTTGCTCAGGCACTAGCTGCTTGCATTGCTTTGATTATCAGCACGCTGGTCCCTAGGAGCAACTGGTTTTCTGGAGTTGATTACAATAAGCAAATATTTTCTTTTGCCAGATAGTGCACTCCTACAGTTTTCTTAACGTTTATGTGAAACTCCTCACCTATGATAGTGTAGTTGGTGCAACTGAACCTTAATTGGATATGTGAGCAGCTTATGGTGTTGTCTCATTTCAAACATAATTCAAGTTGGCATACATATGCACACACACAATTTTGCCGTGCCACTTTAGCCTGTCTGCAGCAAGAAATTGTTATGGAATTATTATGCAATGATGTCTTTGGTTTCTCAAGGCAACAATCTTGGGAAAGGAAGTGACCCCCTTCCTTATTTAGGGTTTAAACTTACAGTTAACCAGTGGGATAGGCAACTCTGGAGAATAATGGGGAGCATATGCATGTAGATAATAAAGGCTCGGGAGGGGAGTTTATGTTGGTGAAAGGAAGAATGGAAGCAACAGGATGAAGGGCATAATTTCAAATTGCACAAGTGTGGGCTCTTGACAATCCACATCGTCAGGCTCTGTGACTGTTGTGGTGACTGTGAGAGAAGAATGTCCACTTCTGTGATAATGATGACTTGGGTTTTTTGTGTTCTAGAG